GCAGAATCCTTGCGTTCCTGCAGCGCGGGGTGACTCAGGGGCTGGCCTTGAGTACTGTGAAGGGCCAAATCTCTGCCTTGGCGGTGCTTTTCCAGCAGCCTTTGGCGTCTAATGCTCTGGTTCGCACTTTTGTTCAGGGGGTGACACGCATTGCTCCCCCTGTCCGCACGCTTTTGGCTCCGTGGGATTTGAATCTCGTGCTTTCCGTGTTGCAGGGCTCGCCGTTTGAACCTCTTCGGGAGATTCCCCTTATATCTTTATCACAGAAAGTGGCCTTTTTGGTGGCCATCACTTCCGTTCGGCGGGTGTCGGAGTTGGCTGCCTTGTCCTGCAAGTCCCCGTTGCTGGTTTTGCATCGGGACAAGGCGGTTCTCCGTCCTCGGCCGGCGTTCCTGCCGAAGGTTGTGTCGGCATTCCATCTGAATGAGGACATTGTCTTACCTTCCCTGTGTCCGAAGCCGGTCCATAGGAAGGAGCGTGCGCTCCACTGTTTGGATGTGGTTCGCGCTCTTCGTGTTTATTTGGAAGCTACGGTTTCTTTCCGCGAGACCGACTCCCTGTTCGTGCTCACGGAGGGTCCTCGTAAGGGTCGGGCCGCGTCGGCGGCTACCATCTCTAGGTGGATTCGTAATGTTGTGACTCAGGCGTACGCCGTTAAGGGGCGTGAGCCTCCATTTCCTGTTACTGCCCATTCTACTAGGGCTGTTGGGGCTTCCTGGGCTTTCCGCCATGGGGCCTCTGTTTCTCAGGTTTGTAAGGCCGCTACTTGGTCTTCTGTTCCCACCTTTGTTATATTTTACAAGGTGGACGTGTTCGCATCGGCGGATGCTGGTTTGGGGCGCAAGGTGTTGCAGGCGGCGCTTTGAGGGGTCTTTTGGGTGTTTTTGTTTGTTGTTGCCCATCCCTCAATGTGTTACTGCTTCGTGACGTCCCTACCTTTCAGGATCTACGATCTGTTGCCCTGTGTCCTTCAATGAACGGGAGAGAAAATAGGATTTTTGTACTCACCGTAAAATCCTTTTCTCTCCGTTCATTGAAGGACACAGGCCCCGCCCTCTTTTATGGGGGGTGCACTCCTAACTGCTTGTTACTTACTGGAGACTTGTCAGCAAGTGAGGGGTTGGGCCACCAGCAGGGGCCGCCCCTAGGCTGTCTTGTCTTTTTGTTATGTGCCTAGCGTCCTACTCCTGCAGGTGGCGATATACTCTACCTTTCAGGATCTACGATCTGTTGCCCTGTGTCCTTCAATGAACGGAGAGAAAAGGATTTTACGGTGAGTACAAAAATCCTATTTTTTCAATGGGAGGGAGGGCGGCAGCCAGTAATGTTCATCCAGCAGATGGTGCTGAGAATCACTTCTGCTACTATGCTGTATTAATGACTTTTTTTTTCTCATCTCCACAGTTCCATGGATGAAGTGTTCGTCTCATATGTAACTGGGGTATTAGAAGAGCTGGGAACTCAAGAGACGTCAGAAGATGATTTTGATATGGAAACATTCCTAGAAATGTTGGAGGGTTACATTCCAGGGTTTGCAGAAATTGGAAGGTAAGCATACAAAGGAACACTTTCCATGTTGCATGAAGTGTAATCTAAAGTTAAAAAAAAGTTACATTTTGGGTAGAGTAGGAAAGGACTAGAGGTTCTATCAGGTTGCGTTGTTTTCTGTGTCCCCATTGTGGAGATTGACCATCTCCATGTGTCCTGGTGACCAGTTTTGAGTTTTCACCAGAACAGGAATAGAAGGGTAATTTTCTAATTGGGATACTTTTTTTTCCAGTAACAACTGTCTAAAGTTGGCCATACAGCGTGCGTAATTCGCACAGTGTGTGGGGCTGTTGGCACCCTTTCAGCTGGCATCCTTCGATCAGCTGATCAAAAGAACCGGTTGGAAAATCTTCGTATGAACTGAGCCAGCAGCTGATGTGCTCATAGCGTTGATGGAGGAACCTGCTCTATTTTTTTTCAGCGGGTTGATTTGAAAAATATAGAGCATCATGTGGCCAGCTTAAGAGGGGCTTTCCCTTATTTTTGAGCGATTTCTGCTTACTTCCTGGTGTGTTTATGGGACAGAAAGTTCATTCTTCACAATGGGACACTGACTGCAGAAAAAGCCTAAACGGTTTGGCTGGTGATCTTCATTGTTCAATTCTTCAATGATGCAAACACGCAGTGCTTGGGAACTGCTCTCTGAGCTGTTTTGATGCTATTGATCTGTACTGTTCTCTTATTATCTATTTGACCACTTTTTGACATTTTGCACTCGGAAATGACTACACCATGACTGTGGAAGAGTTTATTATGTTTATTAACTATAATGGAACTGTAAAAGACATGTTATATATTAAGGGTGTCTTGTTCTTATATGGTAATCTTTATTTTATTATCCATAAAAGATGTTTGCATGACTGATCTGCTAGAAAGGGCATGCCTTGTGTTTTATTTTCCAGTTCCTTGTTTATTTTTAGTTTATCATGTTTAGCCTGAAATATTTTGCAGGCATTTCTTCCACTCAATTTGATGAGCTGTGGAATGTTCCGTTTCATTCCCCACTGCCCATTAATTCAGTCAACCAACTATTCTCCCTAGATTATGCTCTGTCGCCTATGGCATGCTCTTTGGGAGGTTCTTCTGGCTGCTCGGTTGTGCTCTCTTATGTTTGATTTAATAAGTATAAACATATCATGTCAAGGTAGAATAATATGGCAGCTAGTCAGTTTATGGAGAGCCAAACCAAAAGCTTACCCTCTAAAGCCCTGCAAAGTACACTATGACGAAACAAGATGTATATGCATATCAGTTCCAATATAAATGCAAAAACAAGGTATTTATTCCTCTGAGGATAATTGGCAGCACCATGCACATTTTTTCCTTTTATACTCAGCAGATCCAGAACTATTGATACATAGAACAAAAGTTACATTATAAACTCCCACTTGCATACAGACTATATGATCCTCGTCATTGCAAAGAATGGAACACACAATACTATGATGTGGCGTTTGGGGGGAATACTCGACTTGGAAAGATGATCAGTATATGGTCACATGATCAGCAATGGCTCACTTTATATCTATCTTATTACCTGTAATTTCCTTTTGAATAAACTGGCAAACATGTAATCCTGTCTTGCTACCTTTTGCAGCGATAACGTTTTTGAAATGATGTTTGAACTGTCTGGTCAACTAAGTGAAGCACGTAATAAAGGTAAGTGGCAATGTTATTGTTTATTGAATTAAACAATTTATTTATGAAGGCCATGTTGTGGATCTATAATGAAATTTGTTTCATGGGTGCATACTATTTTTTTAATCTTTCTTGCCTTTAATCAAATACTGATGTATCAGTCAGGTTATGTGCAGTGCAGCATGTGGTGTTTGAGCATCGGCATACGGTTTGCCCATGTACCAGAGTACCGCATGTTAATAAAGAAATGTAAACACCACACTTCTTCAAGATTTCCTTAATAAATAATATACTATTGCTATTAGCTTAGTATGCAATGGAGAACAACATGACTATTTCAAAAGGAACTCTGTGAAGCCAGTTAAATGCACAATGGAAGCACATACTGTATACTGTAAATAAACAGTTTACATTGCCAAAGGATTTTAAATATATTTCAGCCTAAATGATGACACCGCTATCCCCTGGTTCAGGTCTACAGCTTCCTGGGTCACCTGACTACTCACTGGACAGACCCCAGTAGACTGTTGACATGTAGTAGAAAAAGCCAGAGTTTAGTTTGATGGTAGTTTCAGAAAAATAGTGAACTTGTGAGCATAGTGAAAATGTGACCATTTATGTGACAATCACACAATCTATATATGTATGTATTTGCAGAAAATGACTCTCTTAAACCATCATCGGAGACCTCAGATGTTGTTCCAGAATCTGATGGCACTGTCCCCAGACAAAATAAATTACAAGCACCACCAGAAGGAGCAGAGGCTCAGGTACTCTGAAACAAATTACTATATCATTTATAAATCAAGTTTTTTTTTGCTGCTAATTAGATATGTCACAAGGCAAGTGCTTTGCTGAACACCAGTGTATTCTTAGTTGTTACATACAGAAAGCTAAAGGCCTGTGTTTGTCTTCTCATCAGACGGGTTTGCATTCTTGCACTTTTGGGTATGCAAAAACCTGCTTGAAGCAGGTCAGAAGAAATGCAGTTCAAATGCACCTGTCAGTGAATTCTACATGATCTCAAACCGATGCCTGTCCACATAGGCCCCTAAAGTGACACTGTCACTGGGTAGAAGAAGGAACCTGCTGCAGGTATAAAGTGTAGACACCTAGAGGTGCTTTTTTGTGTGACACATTTTTATATTAAATGTAGAGCTGTGTAGATTAACCACTACTTTCCTGCTTAACACTAGTGTAAATTGTTTTCTCTGTGTCAGCCGATTTAAATAATTACATTGTGAGATGGGCTAAACTATTGTATAGCACTGAAAATCCGGAAGCAAAGAAACAATTTTGTTTTTTTTAAAAAGAATTAACGATTAATTCTTTAAAGGTTGGTAAGATAATTTCACATCGAGTCTGTAAAAAAAAAAAATCCTTGACATGGCTATATTTTTAACTAGGGCTGTCCAGATTCCGCTTTTTCAGGACCAAGTACCGATACCAATTACCAATACTTTAAAAGGGACAGGTGACTGTAAATGATCCATAGTACAACTACATGTTATGTACTATGGATCATGGTTTAACCGATTCATGACACGACGATCAGCGCGGTAAGTTAAAAAAAAAAAAAACTGCGCAAGCTTCGGCGCTTTGTATCGGGGCACTTGTCAAAATGCCCTGTATCGGTCCTGATACCGATGCTAGCTTCGGTATCGGGACATCCCTAATTTTAACTATAAAGGGGTTTTCCTAAGCTGGATATACACCTACAGATTATCTGCAGATTTTCTATGGTCAGATGGAAAAAGTGCAACAGATTCCTCCACCTACGCTAAACTGTGTGGACGGAGGAATCTCCAACTGGGCCAAGCTTCAGTATATTGCTAGTCCGCCCCACTGGCTCTCCAAATACCTGTACAATCGATCAGATTGTTCAGGTTTTTTGGCAGCCAGCGGGGCCGACTAGCAAGATACTGAAGCTTGGCCCAGCGAGATATTCCTCCATCCACACAGTATATCTATCTAGGTGTCGCAGCTGCTGTACAGCAGCAAGTGGAAGAAGCCACTAAACCCACCTAATAGAATAGTCAGTCAGAACTGTCTATGGCGTGTCTGTGGTTCCCTCCAGAATGTATGCAATATGCCCAGATGTTCTACAGAAGGATAGTGTATATAAATCACTCGTGGTGGGCCGATCTCAAAGCTAAGTAAGAAGTTAAAGGAGAACTATGAGGTGAGTGCTTTTCACTCACATATTCACTTGGCTAATAAAATGGTTCCCTCTGTTGGGTTTGACAAGTATATCTTTTATGTTTTTCTACAGGGAAAAGATGAACTGCAGAAAAATATTGATGTACTGCTAGAGATGTTCCCGTGCTGCAGTTTGCGCCAAGCTGAGAAAGTTCTTTCTATGGCTAAAGGAAACCTGGAAGATGCAGTTCATATCATAGTAGACAGCGAAGGGCAGCTTAACAATGCATCTGAGCCACAGGTTTGTCTCACCGATTTTTAAGATGTGACAGTTGAACTACTATGCCTGCTTTTGATCTGTAGTAATGAGTTTAATAAATCAACACATTACAGTATTCTTTAGTACAGGGCACTGACAATGTCAGAATTAACAGCTTCTCTTGTAGCTTCTCTGCAGATCAGATGTTATTGAATGATATCAGCTCAGGGAAAACGTTTTTCTCTTTGTATCTGAACATTAGAGAAAAGGCTCAATTCACTAAGCTACAAGGATCATTATTTTATGCAATAACAGCCAATTAGAGCTGAAGGATAGTCGCTTGACTGACTGAAAAGTGCTCATATATGGAACATAATATGCATACAGGTAAATAAATTGAGCATATGGATATATAACATTTTCTTTCTTGTCCATTGAAGGACACAGGAAGTCTTAATAGGAAAGAATACAGTGTATTTATACAGTGTGTGAAATGCACTCTCTCTCTCTCTCTCTCTCTC